CGCTGAGGCCGAGACCCCTGGCCCACCCGCCTCTGCTCTCCTGCCCCCACCCCGGCTGCGCTGCCCGGGACCCGGCTGCCGGCGCACCCTTGCCACCACTTGGAAACGGGGGACACTCATGCCGGGGAAACCAGCGCCTGCCTCTCCTCATGACCGCCCCCCAGGAGCTCCTCCAGGCGCCCCTCCTCAGCAGCCCCCCGCCCCGCCGCGGAACCAGACACCCGGACGGGCCCTGCACATGTGCATCTCTGCACTGTCTGCCTTGAAAGAACCGTCTCTCCAGCCCCCACCACGATCTGACTCCCACCCCCCGCGGAAGGCGCCTGGGGAAAATAAACAGCACGATTAGAACTAATATTGCATATCTGTTCCCGTTTTTTAATACGACAGCCAGCGATCTCCCCCCACGGACGCGGCTCACACGCTCCCACCGGCGGCCCCGCTCGCTCTCGGGGGGAGCCGGCACCAACGTCCCGGCGTGCAGGCAGGCACGCCCGCGCCCGCACACACGCACAGCACGCACATTACCTGCGTGTGCTCCCAGACACGCACACACGTGTGCTGGGCAGCAGGGGCAGCAGGCGGCACTCACGCGGCGCCCGGGTCTCGGCTCCCGAGGACCCCCGTCCCGGTGGAGCCGGAGCCACCGGGAGAAAGGCCGGCATCCCGGCGGCCGGGCGGGGCAGAGACACGCGCCGGAGCGTTCTGCACCAGGAGGGAAGGCGGGGCCCAGAAACGGGGGGCCGGCCTGACCCAGGGGCCACCGGTCGGCCTTGAGACGGCCTCGCGCCCTGACGACGCACAGGGACCACAGGGACGGTCACTGCCGCTCATCGTGGGACAGAACAGACCACTGAGACCCACGCCGGGTGGGGGCAGGGCTAGATGGTTCCGCCTTCGCAAAGAACCGTCTTGAGGACGAGAGTGGTCTGCCGGGGGCCAGGGTGGCGTCGCAGGGGCCGCGCCCGGCAAAGGCCGCCTCCACGGAGTGCGTGACGTCGTCCTCCCCAAGGTGGGACGGACCCAACCCTCGTGTCACCTGGGAGACAGGGTGGGCGCCGGAGAACGCAGCACCAAGCGGCTGCAACCCCGACGGGCGCAAAGGCCCAAGCACCGGGACACCCTGCCACGGGCCACGCTCACGGCCACGAGCACCCGGGAACGGCTGAGGAACCGCCCCGGACCGGAAGGGGCGGCAGGGGGCGCGCGGGCGTCTGGGGGACCCCCTGCTGCGGAGGGCACGCCCTGAGACCCGAGGGGCTCGCGGGGCGCGACCACGGCTGCTGTGCCACGTCGGGGCTCGGCTGTGCCGGGGGAACGGATGCTCGTCCCAGGAGCCACGAGGGTCTAGGGCACCAGCCAAGCGCCCAGCCTACCCCCACGCGGGCCCAGAAAACGTCCTGTGCGCTGCACGTACAGCCTAAGTCTGAGCCGTTTCCAACGTTTAAAGAGACAAAATCTGCCTGAAAGGGAAGCCGAGGCTTCCTGGTCCCCACCAGAACCCGCCCCCTGTCCCTGCTCCCGGCTGCCCAGGGGTCACGAACCCTGGCCTGCGGGTCACGGAGCACCGGCCCACCCTCGGGAGTGCTCCCGACACCTCCTCTTCCGGTCGGCAGCGTCTCTCAACCCCCGACGTGGCCGCCGCTCACCTGGGGGCCCGTGCGCCCGGCCGGCCCCAGCGCCCTCACCGGGCCGAGCAGGGCTCGAAGGAGCAGAGCGACGGAGGAGCGAAGGGACCCAGGGGTGGCAGGCCCTGTGGGGAGGGACCCGACGGCCCCCATGGACGCCGCTGGCACCCCTCACTGGCCGCAGGCTCTCCAGCCAGAGCACAGCTCCCCCGTGGTGGGGGGCAGGGAGCGGGGGTGCCCGGGTCCCGAGCCCACCCCCAGGAGGACGCCTGGCTGGGCAGCGCGGGCACGAGGCGGGCGGAGGCGCCCGGAAGGCCCGGACGGCAGCGGGGCTCCGGGGCTGTCTGCCGAGTCGGCCGCCATGGGACCCCACCACCGAGGCTGCTCCAGCCACACGCGACCTGCTGCTCCCGGGACCAGCAGACCGTGGCCGCCCCTGAGGAGTGTACTTAAAGCCCGAGGTGGCCTCCGGGCATTCTGAGCCAAAACAACAAAGCTCGCCCTGCCCGCTCCAGGCGTGCGTGACGAAGAGGCAACCGGGACCCATCTGTCACCTCCCGGCCCCGGCTCTGTACACAGCAGGCGCTCCATAAGTGCACGTGGCTGTTCAGCTCCCTTAGGGCCAAGACCCCAGCCGAGATCAACCCGAAGAGGAAGGGCACCCCCAATGCTACCTTCTGGAAAAGGCGGCGTCACGGCGAGAAGCCAGCCAGCCAGCCACTCGGAAAAGAGGGGGCACCGTGGAGACCCTGGAGCAGGACCCGCCCCGGGGCGGGTGGCAGCGGGGAGACAGAAGGGCCCTGAGTCGCCCCACCGCTGGCACAGCACCCGGGTCCCCACGGGAAGCAGGCCCCACGGCCCGCCCGTCCGTCCGGCGGAGGCAGACACACACCGTGACCACCCGAGCCAGGGGCCAGGACTGCCCATAGGAAAGGCAGCCGGACAGCAGAGGGGGGTCGTGACACCGTGGCGCGGCCCGGGAGGGAGACCTACGTGCGTGTCTCAGTTCTGCCCCTTGTCGCGACGAGGGGTCTGGAGCAAGTCACCGGGCCTCTCTGAGCTGCGGGGTTCTCATGCGGGACACGGGGCGGCACACCCCCCCAGGGTCCCGCCCAGCCCCAGGCAGGGGCGGTAACAAAGGGCAGAAGAGGCTTCTCTGGTGACCCCACCCCCATGGGCGCAGAGAACATCGTCTCCACCCCCGGGGGGCACAGGGCGGCCGCACAGCCCAGCCCCCGAGCCACACGGCCCTTCGTGGGAAAGACAATGGCCTCTGTCGTGGAGAACACCCCAGTGGAGCCACGCGGAACTCCCGGCCCCACGACGGGGCCCCCAGAGCACCCTCAGCCCGACCGGGCAACCGGCCCCGCCCTCCGTGAGACGCCAGGTCTGGGAGACGGGCCTCGTCCTCCCTGGGGACCCCACCGACCGGTACCCACGAGACCGTCCCGTGAAACCGCTACGGCTGACTCAGCACCAGGCCAGGGACTCCCCCGCCTCCCTCACTGAGCCACCCCAGTACGGCCCGGGGCTGTGAGTCAGCTTCCACTACCGCCCATTGCATGGATGGGGAAACTGAGGCCCCAAAGGGGGTCACGGACCCGGGAAGCGTCGTGCCAGGTTTCAATCACACGTGTGGCCACAGAGACACGCAGACACCCTCCCACCTGACTATCCTACCGCCCAGGCCCCTTCACACCCCTCACAGGGAGGGGGGGGACGAGGGTTGCTGGGGTGGGGGCCCCAAGGGGCTGCCGCTGAGACTGACGCTGCCCGCCAGCAGCTCCAGAGACCCTGGGACGCCTCTGCACTTGCGGCACAGGGGGCCGAGCCGGCCACCTGCCACAGCCAGCGCCGCCTCCTGCCCCATCCCGCCGGACCCACAGCTGGGGAGGGGCTGCTCCAGGACCCGAGGTCCCGCCAGCCCCAGCCCCCGCTACGTCACCCACCCAGGCCAGGCTGCGCCCTGCACCCCACGCCCCGGGAGCCCTGCCAGTTGGGGGAAAACCCCGCCAGGAGCCAGCAAGCCTGGGCAGCCCCGGCTCTGCCCTCAGCAGCCCTCCTCCTGTCCCTGCAGGGCCCGGGGACGGCAGAGGGCGGCGGAGGGGGCTGGGTCGGGGACAGCACTCTGCGGCAAGGCCCCGGCTCCCGGCCCCGGGGCCACTCGGCCCTGAGAAGGCCTGAAGAGGGTGCTGGCCTCGGGGGCGCCCTGGGCACTGACCGCAGGCAGGGTGCTAGGGGCCCCCTCACCGGGCAGCCCACCTCCTTGGTCTGGGGGTATGACCCCTGAGTGACAGGGAGGCCCCAGCCCCCCAAGCCCTTCTTTGTCAGAGGCTACGCTCCCCTCCTCCCGGGCGGGCACCCCATCTCCTTGGAAACAGGGTCACAGCCAAAGGGCAGAGGCCATGAAGCCCAGCCTGGAAGAATGGTGACTCACTCCGGCCCCCTTCCCGATGTCCCACTGTGAGTGGCCCTGGTCCCCACGGATTTGTCCTCGGCCGAGGCGGACGGGGCCGCAGGACCCACAGGGAAGTGGCTCTGGGGCAGTGCTGGCCGGACCCCGGCTGGCAGCCCGGCCCCCTGGGGCCCCGCCGGGCTGGCTGGGGCGGGGGATCCATGGCCCCAGAGAAGGCGGGATGGAAGCCTCCATTCTGCTTAAGTCTCAGCCAAGTTCCCTCTGAAGGGCCGAGAAAGGCAGCGCCTGAGGCCGCAGACATTTTCCTGCTGCCGGCGGCCACACGCGCTCCCTCGGCCACGACAAAGACCACACGGGAGGGGGCCCTGTGGCGGCAGCTGGGGGAGCGATGGGGGGGCTCCCTTCACACCAAGTTGCGTGTCCCTGGGGGCCGATGCGGCTCGGCCCTCCCTGGTCCCGGGAGGAGGCGAGGCCGGCGAGGGGGCGGCGCCCGGGGCCCACCGACCCCCTGCGCCCGGCGGCCGCTCGCTCCCCACCCGGCCTGCCCCTCGGGCCTCGCCCCGACCCCCGCCGCGCCTGCTCTGCCTCCCCCAGCGTCCGGCACCGGCTCGGAGCCCGACCACGCCACGCCTGCCCAGGCCCCGGGCGCGGCGGGCTCCCCGGGGTCGGACGGGACTCTCGCAGGCCCCGTGGCCCGGGAGCGCGGTCCGCGGCGGCGGATGCCCCGCCCGGGCTGGAGTCTCCCCTCACCCGGGCAGAGCCCGCGCGCGGCGGAGGCTCTCCCTCGGCTTGAGGGACTTCGGTCAACTTCGCGCCTCCCGGGGTCGCCCCTCGGAGGAGCCGGCTCCGAGGCCCGGGGCGCGCCCCGCTGTCCGCCCCGGAGCCCCGCCGCTCCTGCCACTGCCCTGGGGCCGCCCGCGGCGGCGGCGACCCCCGCGCCCGCGCGCCCCGGTCACCTGGGACATCTGCGGCCGGAAGTTGATGTCCTTCAGGTCGATGGAGCCGGGGGAGAGGTTGTGCAGCAGCTGGCACAGCAGCACGCCGTCCCGCAGCGCCTGCGCCAGGTCGAAGACCGCGGCCGAGGGCCACACGACGCGGTGGTCGGGCGGCAGGACCTTGCAGTCGACGAGCCAGCGGCCGCACTGCCGCCACTGCTCCATGGCGCCCGCCGGGCCGGCCGCTCAGCGCCGCGCTCGGGCCGAAGTGCGGCGGCCGCGGGTCATCCCGCCCGGCCGCGCCGGGCTCCGCGGCCGGGGCGGGGCTTCCCGCGGGCGGCCGGGTGCCCCCCGCGCCGCCGAGCGTCCCTCCTCTTCCTCCTCGGGGCTCCTCGCGGGCCGCCGCTCCCGCCCACGTGCGGCCGCGCTGTAGGCGCCGGGCAGCGCGCCGCGTCCTCGGCTCACACCCACGAGTCCGCCTGGGCCCCAGGCCGGGCTCCGCGCCGTCCGCCGCCGCAGCGCTCCGCGATCAGCGCCGCCGGGCGCCGCATTCTGCGCGCGGGGCGCCCCGTGGCCGCCGCGGTTCCTGCCCCGCCCGAGACAAAGGCCCGGCGGGTCGCTTGCTCCGCGCGTCCCGGGCCTGGGCCGTCCTCGCCGCCGCCGCCGCCGCCGCCGCTTTGTTCGCCCCGCCTGCGGGCTCCGCGCTCCAAGCTCCGACTCAGAGGCTCCGCGGCTCCCGGGCACTGGGGGCGCGGGGGCGCGGGGGGCGCGGCCACGGGCGGGGCGGGGCGGAGGCGGGGCGCTGGCTGGGCACCTCCCCGAGACCCAGGCACCGCCCCCGCCCCCGCTCCACTTCCTGCCCCTCTGCCACCCGCAAAAGTTGCGGAGGGCGGGGAACCAGGGCCCGCAGGCCCGCTGCTGGCGGAACCCGGACTTTGGGGAGCTCTGCGCCCGAGGCAAGAGACCTCGCCTACGGAGTGACCGCCAGTCGCAGTCTGTGCGTCTCTTCCTGCGTACGGTTCCTGAAGATCAATAGGTGGCCCCTGTCACGCCACACGCTTCCACACGGCCAGAAGGGGCCAGCGACTGGGCCGAGGCCTCTCCCGCCCCTTCGGCTCATCAAGGCCACCCCCGCGGGATCACTGGACGTCGGATGTGCACGGACCGGGGACGCGCCCAGAGCCAGTTCCCATCCTCCTTCCTGGCCTGGGACCGGCAGGAAGCCCCCCTCCCGACCCTGCACGGGGGCAGGGATTCCCCTGCGTTATGACCCAGAGGCCACTCTGGCCGCTCGCAGCTGCCCAGAGGGCAGCTCCTGGCGTCCGGGCTGGGGTGTGTGAGATAAGTAATGGGGGGAGAGGGAAGGAACCGAGGCCAGACCGGGCCCTGTGTCCCGCCGCCCCCACGCTGGCTGCAGGGTCCCCTGACCCGGCCCTGAACTCTCTGCTGGGCCACGCCCCAGGGGGCGGGCAGTGTTCCCGGCAGCCGGCCTGTGACAGCGGGGGGGACTTCAAGGACATAAAGGGCCCATCTGGCAAAGAAATGATGTGGATTCTGGCTCAGCTGCCGGGAGCTCCGGGTCCTCCCCGCTGGTGGACTGGGCCGCGCCCGGCCGCCGGGTGCAGGTGTGGGGTCACCCGTCTCAGAGGGGCCACCCGCCCTGGACACGCGTGGTTGGCCCCTGTACCTGTGCTAGCTGGGGCAGCCCTGGGCAGCAGCCAGGACGGCCCAGGCCCCTCCGCCTCTGGCATTCCTGGCGCAGGAGCCGGAGCAGGGGGACACCCCCACCTCACCTCGCCTCAAGGGTCCCCTGGGCCCTGTGTTCTGGGAACCCGCGTCTGCAGAGAGCCAGGCTGGGCCCTTCCCAAACTGCGCAGGAAGCCTGGGGCCGTGGGGAGAGGCAGGGAGGGCGCACCGGGCCTGCGGGCAGCAGGGGGGAGCTGGGAGCGGGTTTCCTCCGAGGGCACGGGTGTGGCGCCGCGGGACGGTGCTGGGGAAGGAACCGGCCTTGCGGGGGGGGGGGTGGGAGTCCGCCTGCCTTGCCGCCCCGGGACGTCGCGAAGAGGGGACAGGGCCTGAACCCCCAGCGCCTCGGGCCTCCGCTCCGACAGCCAGCAGAGGCCCCTTCCCCTGGCGGCGCCCCCCCCCCCTGCGGAACGGCACTCGGCCACCCCGTCAGGACCCCCGGTGAGGCGCAAACCCAGCCCCGCGCTTGGGGTGCCCTATTCGCGGTGCCCCGTAAATGCCTGGGTCTCTCTCCCACAGGTGGCTCCGCCAGCAAGAAAGGGGCCTCTGTCCGCACCGGCCTGGGCCTTCCTGCCTGGGTGGAGAACAAACCAAGACCATGAGCCCGGGGCTGGGACGGCGGAGAGGCAGCCACAGCGCAGACGGTCGTCTGCTGCCCCCTGGTGGGCAGGGAGGACACTGTCGCCAGCGGGCTGCCCCTTTCCGGGGGCCGCTGCCCAGCTTCACCGGGAACAGTGGAGCCAGAGACCCAGCCCCCGCTGCCTGCGTGGTCCTGAGCGCGTCACAACACTCGCCGCAGTCCCAGTGTTTCATTTTGTTTTTCATGATTATATTTATTTTTAGAGAGGGGAAGGGAGGGAGAAAAAGGGAGAGAAACATCAGTGTGTGGTTGCCTCTCATGCGCCCCCTACTGGGGACCTGGCCTGCATCCCAGGCATGTGCCCTGACTGGGAATCGAACTGGCAGCCTTTCAGTGGAGGAAGTCCTGTGTTAAGTGCCGGACAGTCCACGGGAGAAGCTGTGACAGATGAAACCCAGGAGACAGGCCATGGCCAGGTGGCTGTTGGTTGGAGCATCGTCCCAGACACGCAAATGCTGCGGGTTCGATCCCTGGTCAGGGTGCATATGAGAGGCAACTGATGTTTCTCTCTCACGTCCATGTTTTTCTTTTCTCTCTCTCTCTCCCCTTTCTGTTTCTAAAGTCAGTGTTGAAAAAGTCGTATCCTCAGGTGAGGATCTGAAAAAAAATGTTTTCAAACCCAGGGGGCAGGAAGTGCCAACACCAGCCGCAGGGCCGAAGGGTGGCAGGAGGGCTGCGGTCCCCTCCCCCCACCCCACCCCACCCCAGCCTCCCCCGCCCCACCCTCGCCCCCTCGCGGGTCCTCCGCAGCCAGCCGGGGCCTAGTCCACCCGGGGTGAGGCGCTGTCTCTCCTGCCCCCGGGGAGCCCCCGCCAGAGGTGGAACCTAAGTCCGCCCCAGCAAATCCTCCCCGGACGCCCAGGTTCCCTGCAGTGCACCCCCCCACCCGCGCCCCAGGCCGCGTGCCCTCACCCCTCACCCCCTGGGCCGGCCCTCCTCACCTGCCGCCCCATGCAGTTGGCCGGCTTGCTCTGTCTCCTCCCCTGGACCGGCCGTCAGCTGGGTGGCACCAGGGGCCATCTCTGTCCTCTCCCCCTGCAAACCGGGCTGGGATGGCGGTGGGCGATCGGAAAGCAGCTGTTGAATGAGACCCCAGGGGTGGAGCCGGCAGCCTGGCACAGCCGCGCACCCGAGGGCCTCCTCCGCAGACGCCACAGGAGCGCGTCACCCCGGCTCCGAGGGGTCAGAGGCCGGCTGTGCGGCCTGTGGGTCGGTTTGCCCTGCCATTTAACGAGGTTCCTGGCGGACGTGAACAGCAGGTGCGCACGCGTCACGCCGCCCTACGGGGGGGGGGGCGGAATTCGCGGTCAGTGCGTCCTGCCGTCACTTCGGGCCCGTTTATTCCAACTGCGGCGGAGCGGGCGGAGACGGCGCGGCCGCTGCGGTTCCTGGAGTGGGAGGCGCGGCCTCTCTGCGCCGGTCCCGAGTCCGGCCCGGCGTTGCACAGCCCTGTTCGTCCCGAAGGGGCCAGGCCCCGGCCCCCGCACGAGCCCCCAAATGCTTCCGCCACCAGGGGTTTCCACGCCTGGAACTTTCGGGGTCCCTCGACACTCTGACTCGAGGGGAGAGGGGACCAGAGTGGAGGGAAAACGCCTCGACAGCTGACTCAGCGTTTACATACTGACTCAGCAAGAGAACGCGAAGACGCCGCACGCGCACGCTCCCACCCCACCCCCACGGCGGGAGCGGCGGAAACCGGCTGCCGAGGCCCCTGCCAGGGTCCGAGCTGAAGGCGGGAAGAGGGTGGAAGTGCGGCTGCGCGGCCTCGAGCTCCGGGAGGCCTGGAGGCTGCGGGGTCCGTGGGGGGTCCCAGAAAGAGGCCTTCGGAGGGAGGTCGGGCCCAGAGCTTCTCGGGGTGGTGCCTGGGTGCCCCGCTTTCCCGCTTGCCCGCGCAGTAACTCCCACTCCGCGCGCTGTCTCCGCTCCAGACTCTGCACTAGCGCACCGCCGACCCGGAGGGAAGCAAGCACGGTTTGGCAGGTGGAGGTGCGCAGAGCTGCAGCGATGGCCCCAGGTCGGGCAGAGGCAGCCCCGGGCGATCCGAGCCCACGGCCCAGGCCTCCTGGGCTCCCAGGGGCTCACGCTCAGCGGCGAGAGCCGGACCCCGCGGAGCACTGACGGTGCTCTGGGCTGGAGAGCGTGCGCCCTCCCACGCTCAGCGCGGTTGGTGCGCTGGGGGCTCTAGGCCTCTCCAAACACGCAGACCCCTTCCTGCCGGCACAGGCCGCCCAGGCCGCGGGGCCAGGGCTTTCCCAGCCCGCCCAAGGGCCGCGGCGGGCTCAGGGCCTCTCATCCACGGGGCAGGGCCCAGGGCCTCATTCGGCAGCCAGGCTCCCAGCACGGGCCTCCTCAGAAAGTGGAGGCCACCCAGCCTCCACCCTTCCCCCCACCCCACCCTCCCCTCTCTGCCTCCCCCTCTCATCCTCCCCCCAGAATGTACGGACCCAGCACAGCTCCGCTGTGGGGCAAGGGGAGGCAAATGTCTTGACTCCCCCCGACACGCCTGGGCAAAGGAGTCGTTCTCCAAGCTGGCGGGGAACCCGCGCTCCCCAGGTGCCCTCCCCACCTGCGACGGCGGGTTAGCTGCCACTGTTTCCTGGGGAGAATGACCCTCAGCCCCCGCTGGGTTGCAGGGTGCAGGCTTTTCACATTTTTTTTTGAAAAGGCAAAAATACGCCCTTTTCCCAGCGCAATGCTTCCACGTTCAGACAACGCACAGGCTGCAGGCCTTGGTTTCGGCCCCAGACTGGGGCCTCGGGCCCGGACTGCCACACGCTCCTGGAGGGGCCCCTCCGCAGGGCTGTGCGGGGACAGTTCCTGAGGGGCTCCCGTGAGGTCAGGTCACCCAGTCCAGGCTCTAAGGCCGGGGGGCGGGGAGGGGGGCTCCAGGAACTCCACCCACTGGTCTGCAGGCAGGCAGGGCTTCAGGGTGGCCCCGGGGGTCTGCAGGAAGCTCTCTCTCATCGAGGGGCCAACAAGCCACCTCAACGAAGGACGGAGGTGGGAGTTCGGGCCGGCTGAGGGGAAGGCCCCACCCCCATGCCTGGCTGTGAGTCAAGGGGCCGGAGGGGTGACCAGGGGCACCGGCTGCCACCGAACTCGTCCCTGGCAGGCTCTGTCCACTGGGATGTGGGCAGCGGCAGCGTGGGCTCCCTCTGAGGGGGCAGCTCACCACGCAGCCCGATCGCAGAGCCAGGGGGAGCGGGCACACAGCCGGCCCTGCCCTCACCGCTGGTCACTCTGCCCTCGGACCTCGCAGGGAGCGGCTCACCCCAGCCCTCAGGGGGCAGAGGGTCAGCTCAGCCGAGGGGAGGCGGCTGCTGGCCCTGCAGCCTGGCCCCCAGGCCCCAGCACCAGTGACCCGAACCCAGGAACATGCCCATCACCCCCAGAGCCACCGGCACCCAGCCGCTGTCCGCCCAGCACCCTGCCCACCCCAGGCTTCCTCCTGTCTCATGGGTCCGCCGGTTCTGGACATTGCCACAAACGGGCTTTTACACCAGGTGGCCTTGCTCCCGCCCCTTTCCCCAGCACAGCGCTGATGCGCACTCCTGTGGCAGAGAGCCGGCGAGTCCTTCACCCCCGTTTGAGGCTGAGTAAACCCCACTGTGAGCGGGGCCATTCTGACAGCACGTTTTATGTGACCCCGTGCACCTGACATGCCATCGCCTCACCGCGCCTCCCGCCGGGAACCTCACGGATGAGGTGTTTCACATTCTGCTCTCCAGGGGGGTCCCCCAAACCCCCTGTGCGTGTGCCGCTCACCATGCACGCCGGCTGGGGCACCGGCGCTTGCCAGCAACCCCCGATCTGCATGTAGATGTCACAAAACGTGTGGCCAAACAAGCCCACTGACTCACCCAAGTGGTTTCGCGCGTGCTTAAAAGTTTGCCAAACTCGGAATCGAGTGTCAAACTTTGAGTTAATTAGAATTAAATACAATTAAAAATTCGGCTCCCCAGCCGGGGAAGCCACACGGCACACGGAAGCCACACATGACTCACGGCTGCTGCCCGGCTGGGCTGCGTGGGGTGTCCCCCCACGAGCGGCGTGCCATTGGAGTGGGTTTTGTGAAACCGCTGCCACCCCGGCGGGGGGGGGGGTCCATCGGGGAGCCGTCTGAGTCCCTGGACCCTGTGTCGGTGCCGGCACTGGTGCCCCGTGTCGGAGTTACTGTGACTCCAGTGAGTCCCGCCAGGGGAGCGGACCTGCACGCCAACTTTCTCCTCCGGGAAACCTGGGCCATGTTCCCCACTTCGCTTTTTAATACTTTTTTTAAGTTTTAAAAAAGATTTTATTATTTTTTTTAGAGAAGGGAAAGGAGGAGAAAAGAGAGGAAGAGAAATATCCATGTGTGGTTGCCTCTTGTGTGACCCCTGCTGGGGACCTGGCCCACGACCCAGGCATGTGTCCTGACTGGGAATCGAACTGGTGACCCTGTGGTTCGCAGGCCAGTGCTCAACCCACTGAGCCATGCCAACTAGGGATTAATTCAGTTTTTTATTTATTTGTATTTAGAAACAAAACTGACCATTGTATCCCAGGGTATTATTATCCATATGGATATCGTTATTGTTTTCTAGAGTTACACTTTTCACACATAAGCATAAATAAAAGAATTAAAAAGTTGTATAGATATGGAATTAGTACTACCCATGTATAATGCACACCTGTATTTTTCCTCGAAAAATTTGGGCAACATCCCTGGCTGGCGTAGCTCAGTGGATTGAGCGCAGGCTGCGAACCAAAGTGTCGCAGGTTCAATTCCTAGTCAGGGTACATGCCTGGGTTGCAGGCCATGACCCCCAGCAACCGCACATTGATGTTTCTCTCTCTCTCTCTCTCTTTCCCCCTCCCTTCCCTCTCTAAAAATAAGTAAGAATTTAAAAATATTAAGAAAAAGAAAAATTTGGGCAAAACAGTGCTTATTATCCACCGGGAAATACGGTATTCATTGGTTGGTTCTTGCATGTGACCTGACGGGCATCGAACCCACAACGTGGTGTGTCCGGGCGACTCTCTAACCGACTGAGGCTGCCTAGCCAGGGCAAACAAATCCAAGTGTCATTCCTAGCTTTCTAAGAATTGTTTTTCCACCACGAGAGTCACGTGGAATCCAGCGCAGAGACTGGAACGGCCCTGCGTCCTTTTCCTTCTGTAACTGGCTGCTGTGGAGGAGCGCACCGCGCAGTCCGGAATGACCCAGCCTGGCCGGGCCTTCGTGCGTGCGTCCCGCGGCCACCGCGCAGCCCCGCCGTCTCCTCTGGGGCTCTCACATCGAAGTCCCTGAGCGAGAGGAGCCACCAACGGCCCTGCCCTGGCGCGTCCTGGTCGCTTGGGGTCGAGGTCAGGCCAGTGCTGACAGCGAGCGGGACATGGCTCCGCCCCTGACTGTTTCCAGAGATCGCCGTGGAACAGCGCACGCGCGCCTTCCTTCTGCGCTCACGGGCCTCGCGCTGGCGCCGTCCGTGCTCAGTGTGGCCTTGGGGGAGGTTTAAGTGGCAGGTCCGTTTCTTTAACAGCACGACTCAAGCTGTCCCTTTTTTCTCGTACCCCTATGGATAAACTGCATTTTTCCAGGCCCTGCTCCACTTAGCAAAACTTACAAACGTATTGACGTCAGGCTGTCCACGGTATTATTTTATTATCTTTTTAACGTGTACAGCTTCTGTTGCAAGTCCTTTTTAATTCTTTTTTTTTTAAATATCAGAACACTATTTGTTCAGGCTCATCACGCCGTGAATTCACAGCGAGCGGGGCCCAGCAGCCTTTCTGTTGCGCGTCTCGGGGTGCTGCAGAAGCGGGCGCTTCGGGTGCACCAGGTCCTTCCCTTCTCTTCGGCTTCTTTCTTTCTCCGACCACGTTCCTTCGCACGTCTCAGGAAGCCGTCTCGGCTCTTTGAGCGCTGACCGTGCTCAGTACGCACACCGGGGCTCTCGGCGAGAACCTTGCTCGTCACTTGTTCGTGCACAACAGTGCCCCCCACAGGCGGGGGGGTGACCCTGCAGACTCTTCCAGGCTTGCCGTCCTTCTCGAGTGCTGCCCCTTCCCGGGTTGTCTACAAGGTCACCTTCCCTGCACATGCGCAAGGAGGTGGCCAAAGGCCCGCCTCCCTGTTGCTAAAAGGCCTGGAGGACGTGGGGTGGGGGCCTCCCCCTCTCCCTTTGTGTTGGTCGTTTTGGTGAACTGCTGGAAGCTGGCGGCTCTGGCGGAAACGAAGCCTCTGTGATCCTTAGTGTTAGTTCCGTGTACTTTCTGTTTTTGTTTTGTTTTTTCCCCACCAGGGGTTTACTATTTTTATTAGTCTCTTGATCAATTTGCGGGGGGCGTATTTTTTACTTAATTTCTTCCCTCGTCCTTAGTACATGTACTTAGGTTAATTTTTGCTGTTTTTTTTTTACCCCTGACATCTTGAGATGAATATTTACCTCTTTAATTCTTAACCTTCCTACTTTTGTAAAGCATGTAAAGCTATCAATTCCGCACCCCGCCCCCAGGCATCATTTTAGCCGCAGCCCACACTTTTGATATGTTGTAATTCTAACGTCATGCATTTAAAATATTTTAAAATTTGCATCGTGGGTTTATCTCTGGCCCACGAGACTTTCAGAAGTGTATTGCTTAATGACCGAGTGCACGCGATTCCTTCCAGGTACCGGGTTACCGCCGGCCCGGGAACCACGTTTCCCGCCCAGGCATCCTGTCCGCGCTGGGAGACGCGCCGGACCTGGTGTGCGGTCGGACCGAGCGCCCAAGCCTGGAGACGTCCCGTGTCCCAGTGAAGAAGGGATCCCACGCCCGTGGCGTCATTTTGCTAAGTGGCCCTGGGGAGCCCGTTTGAATACAACTGCAGTCAGAAAAAGGGCGGAACTGCAGAGAGGGCTGGCGGAGCTCGGTCGGTGACGTGCAGACGCGAACGAATTCGAGACCTGTTTGTCACAGCGCGCCCAGACGGCCTTAAATTATTTAAAAGCCATTGCATCGGTCGCTGGGAGTAAGAACGCTAACAGCCACGGCAGCGGCAACAGCGAAAGGACACGAGCGGCGGTACAGATGCCCCCTGGGGCAAACACTCAGACCACAGCACGGTGGGAGGGCCCGGCCCCCTGCGCCCCGCCCCCAACCCCTCCTCCGGCGGCAGGCCCCGCCCACCAGGTCCCGCTCCGGCCCAGCCCCTCGGGACGATCCATCGCTCCGGCTCCTCGCGCAGGCCTGCGCGTCCTGGGCGCTCGGCTACGGATGCCTGCGGCGCTGCCATGGAGACGCGGCGGGGCGGCCAACAGGCTCTGCGTGGGTCTGAAGCTCCGCGCCCCGCCCCGCAGCCCGGGCGTCGCCAAGAACCCCGCCGCGAGGGTGACTGCGGCGCGGGCGGGAGGGCGTAAGGTGGGGGGAGGAGACCCAGAATGCTGGGGAGACAATGGGGACGTGCCATGGGGGGCCCGGGGCGCGGGTCGGGCGAGGGGGACCCAGGATACTGGGGAGGCGATGGGGACGTGCCGTAGGGGGTGGGGGGTCCAGATGGCAGGCAGGGCTAAGGGGACTCGGCAGCCGCCGAAGTGAGGCGCGACTGGACGGTGGGGAAGGGGTGGCTGCGGATGCTGCCTCGTGTGGTTTTCACCGGGCATCCTGTTTTTTTTCTGGTCCAGGGGCCTCCAGATGCCTGGAGCACAAAGGCGGCGCTGGTGGCCGGGTGAGTACCAGGCCGGCCTCAGCCCGGCAGCCTAGGCGAACGCCCTGGCAGGTCAGAGGCTGGTCTGGAAGCAGCCCCTGGTGACCTGGGCCATTTTAGGTTCTCAGGACTTGTTTCGCTGGTACAGACGCAAACCCTCCGATAAGCAGTGGGCCAGGGTGCCCCCCCGCCCCTTCATTAGTAACGAAGTAGGATTAGGCTCCGTCTGGCTCATCCGATGGCGACGGACACTTTGTGTCGTCAGTAGCCGGTTTAACTCTCTGCTCTGGAGTTCAGGTTCTGAGCCATGAAACCTGCCACCGCCGCCCTTGACAGCGTGTCCGTTTCTTGCAGTATCGCCCTGGGGAAGAGCTGCCCACTAGGCCCACAATATAAGGCTCGGAGCCAGCGCCGCCTCCGCACCCCGGACAAGTCCCAGGTCGCCCTGCTGCGCAGTGAGGCACCCGGAGCTCTGCTCAGGGGACACCGGCCTGGGCGCAGCGGTCGTGTGTCTAGCTGTACCATGACCTTCCAGCCAGGGTGGTGCGTCCATCTTTTCAAGTTGAGTGGTCCACGCCGTGTTGTCAGAATCACAGCAGACACCTGCCAGTCCCTCCCCCCGAGGTAGGTGCTTCCTCCCAGTCACCTCCACACCTGATGAAGTGCCCACAGCTGTCACCATTGAAGGCTGTCGCCAGGGAGCCACCCGGACCTGCTGGCCGTGTCAGGGGTGGTCCTTAGATGTCTTCAGAATGCTCAGAGGCTCCCCTCACGTCTCCCTCCAACACCACCCACCTAAGGGTGCTGCCCACTCACAGCCTGGACCCTCACCTCTGCCGCTAACTTAACTAAACAACCCCTGGACCCAGCGGCTGCAAAGCGTGTTCATCAGAGCGGCTGGTGTGAAGCGGCCGGGAGGGGTTGGCCCAGGGCGGCCGCAGGCTCCGCAGCCCAGCAGGGGTCCCGGCCCGGGATGAGCAGCCGCACCCCGCTGGCAGAGAAAGCCCTGTCGGAAGGCTACGCCCGGCAGCGGTACAGGGACACCTCCCTGCTCATCTGGCAGCAGCAGCAGCAGCAGCTGGAGTCCGCGCCACCCAGGACCTACCTGGGCAGGAGCCGCAGCATGTGGTACTCCCGGTACGGAAACGAGGCCATCCTGGTCCGGGACAGGGACAAGCTGGAGGTCTCCAGGGACACGGGCCAGTCCAAGTTCTGCACAATCATGTGACCGCAGAGGGAACGCCAGGCCCAGGGGCCACACGATGAGCCTGGACCCGTTCCGGTCAGCAGCGGCGTGGGTCTCCAGGCCTCCCGTGGAGATGCGGTGGGGTGTGAGAACCCCCAACCCCAGGCGTGGCTCCAGGCCCCTGGGCACAGGGCCGGTGCAGCTGGCGGCCTGGTCTCCCCACTGCCCGGGAGCTGCGGGCCCGCCCAGCCGCGCTGCTTCCCTGTCGGGGTTCCGAAACACCCACCGACAGGGACCCCATTTACAAACAGCTTTTCGAGTTTGGTGGGCTTTTTAATTCAACTCATTGTTTCCTTCAGTGGCAGCTGACATTGAGTGTTCTGTTAGCGTCAGGCTTTCAGTTGTTTTCCGTGTTCACTTCCGCCCGAAGAAAGGGTCAGGCCTAGAAGACAGGTGCGAACTGACCCCCAGGACCGGAAAGAGTGCGACCGGAACGGTCGCAGCAGGAAACGGCTGCGTTTCGGCCAGGTCCCCGAAGTGACCAGCAGGCAGCTCCCACACACCCGAGGGCTTGCGGGCAAGTACATCCGGAGCCCGTCAGGGACCCAAACATGACTCGTCATTTCCACGTCAGTGCCCCCGACAGCGTCTCAGACCCAGCGGCGGGGGGCAGCTGCAGCCCCCTCCACTGGGAGGGCCTGGGTGCCGGTCACCGTGCGTGCAGGCAGCCGAGGCCCCACGAGCAGCTGTCGGGTCCCCGAGAGAGGACACGCATCTGCTGTGGCTGCAGTCGGCGTGGCTTGGACAGAGCAAGTCCCCGTGTCAGAGCTGACTTTCCTTCACTACCACACACAGTAAACGCGGCAGGACTCCTCCCGCTCGCTCCACGCCGGCTCCCGTGTGCGCTTGGCCGCTCTCGGTGGCCTCTGGTGACGCTGACCCCCTGTACAGACACGTGAAGGGCAGAGGAGCGGCACCCTCCCCAGAGACAGGCGGCCACAGCCACACAGCCGCGCCCCCAGGCAGTGGCCCACACTGTGCATTTTGGAGTTTTTCTCTCGCCCCCCCGCTCAGACGGCGTTTATGCCGCGCTCTGACTGTCTGACTGGTGGGGCACCTGTGCGGTGTGCGTCCTCGCTGCCGCTGTTCGCGCAGCACGCTCCGTGCCGGGCTGGGCACGGTTCTCTCAGCAGCTGGGCGAGCTTGTTAGCAACGAGCACCCTGGGAGTGGCCCCATGGGGCCACAGGACATCCCCCATGTCTGCGGCAGGCCCGGGGCCTGGAGTCCAACTGCTGTGGTTGGTGCCTTACTGGAGTCGCAGGGCAGCCCCACCCTTCCGCCCCGAGCGTGGCCTCCGCAGGGGGGAGGGTACTCCGGCCCGGGAGCCCTGACCAGAGGCCCCCAGTGGACAGGTCCGTGGGTGTAAGTCCCACCTGGGAAAAGAGGCGGCCTCAGTGCACCTCCCGGGGCCTCGGGCTGGGCCCTGGCCCTGGCCCTGCCCTGGCCACAGCCAGTGTCCGCACAGGTCAGAGTATGCAGGCCACCAGGCCCTGGGACCCTCGGAGGACGGCTGCCACTGCGCCGCTAGGGAAGCAGGCAGACACCTGCCTGAGGTCAGTCCGCCGCCCAGCCAGCCCCGCCCTGGGGAGGTGGCCGGATGAGGGAGGGGCTGAGCCTGGCCGTGCCGACAGCAGTGATGTGAGGCGGAGACACACAAGCAGGGTGTGACTCACGCCCACCGGCCGGCAGTGAGCGCGGACACACACGCAGACAAGCAGTTTCCGTGGGAAGTGAAAAACGGAATGGCCACTCTCTGGTGGGGGAAGCGCCTGTTCACCAGCCAGAGAGGCTTTTCATTGGTTTCGTTTGCATAAGAATTGAGGCAAAGCTCATCACTCATTGCTGGGAAGTAAGGATCAAACAACAGATAAGAAGGAATCCTGAGGGCCTATTTTGAGTCAGGGTCAAAGAGCTGTAAAAAACTTTAAGGAACGAATTTACTTCTTCCCTGGACCCTTCTCATTCAACTGAGAGCATTCTAAACAAAGCAGGTTTCACAGGATTTTACATATTCTTCCTTAGGCCTGATCACCTGGGGAACCCGCCCTTTCCAGCACAGGGTGGCACCACCCTGTCATTGTTTCAGGCTTAGGTGGAGCAAGGGCAGTAAGGCAGCCGAGAGATAAGGAGATTTTCTCGCAGACAATGAGGACTCAGGCTATGTCAAAGCCGAGGGGCGAGGGTCCATCACCCCCTTTTGCTGTAGCCCCCAAAGTCCTTCCTTGGGGCCTCCCATGTGACCGTGCCTGTCTTAGATCGTTCCCCCCTTGGGGAATCTTACCCGTCATTGGCTAACCGACCAAGCACTGGGGGCAGGCAGGGTGAAGTAAAAGCAGCAGAAGCAGCGCTCCTGCCAGGGAGATGAGCTTTGTCTCCTTGCTGGCTTAGGGTCCAAGGTCACTCCCTCAGCCTCAGCCTCGGTGGGGGCTACAGCTTCTGACGCCAGGCAGGGCGGTTCCCGACAGGGTGCCCAGCACGCCTGGGAGCGTGGCTTCACCGGGCTGCAGCTTAGGCGACGAGAACCCTTCCCCGGGACGGCAGTGTTTTTAAAACGCCATCAGAAGTCGCGCTTGTCTCGAGGCTGCGTTCACTTCCCACTGAAACTGCACAGTGGGGACCTCAGCACCGAGACCCGCCGGACGTGGGGACGAGGTAACGCCCGCTGGGCCGCCGGACAGCTGTCTGGTGCCCGGAGTCTCAGGAGCACGCGAGCCGCCCGAGTGCAGACTGAGGGGCGGGAGGGACGGACAGGTTGGTCGGGAGCAGGGGGACAACCCGCACACCTGAGGACGGGGGGCGGGGGGGCACTCCAGAGAACCACAGGACTGGGAAAGACCGGGACCTGAGCTCTCTTCGGCCGAAAAACAACGGCCCCCGGTCCCTGGTGCCTCCCTGCCCGGGCCCAGGGGCAGGGCTGTGGGTGTGGCCTTGTGACACCGTGTCCAGAGGCTCTGGGTGTTCCCGCCGAGTCTGCACCCACAGGAGGGAGGGGGCAGGAGCACCCCAAAAGCACAGGAAAAGGCACAGACGGGCACTTTTTTTTTCTTTTATTATGAAAACAAAACAAATGCCCCAGGAGAAGGGTCCATGATTACCAGAAACATCAAGAGTACTTTCTACCATTTTTATTCGGTTGTGTTGCGGCCAGCATTGCAATAAACAAGCTAACACTACTTACATTGGACTCATTTGCAGTAACTGACATTTACAGGAATATACTAGAAACGGCACTAAAAAGGTTAAGAAAAGTTACGGTAAACCGGCATGCACACCATACAGAAAAGTAACATTTTAAATATAAAAAAAGGAGAACTTCCTGGAAGTGTTACATGTACTAAGGAGCAGCCCCACTCCGGATGCGCCGGGGCCGAGCCGCGGGGGCCACTCCTCCCCAGACGACCATGAAGGGTGTGGCTTCGCAAAAGAACGAGAACAAAAACAGAAGAAAACGTGACTCTCGGCGTGTGAGCAGGACGGCGCCCGCTGCCCAGGACGAGCACGGCGCAGCCTGTCCCCTCGGTCCACATGGCCAACCCACTGAGCCTTTCCCCACGGAGTGGCCGGGCGCGCCGCCCTGCAGGTCCGGTGCCAGAGCCCGTCCGCTGTCCGTCCACGGTCTTCCAGGACAGACGGAAATGACCCGCTGCCGCAGGTGAGCTCGAGGTGGGGGAGGGGCCCCAGCCTGGAGCGAGGTCAGCGGGGACGTCTGGACAGGAAGCCCATGACCCGCGGCCACTCAGCGTGGACAGCAGCCCCCAGGGAGCCATCAAAGCCAGCGGCCTCTGCTGGGTGATGGGAGGTCCTCAAATCCACCACGGCTCGTGGGACCAGCGGACAGACACACTCCCCCAGGTCCCCGCTGCGATCGCCTCCAGGGCCAGATGCTTCTCCCACTGGGGGCTCACACGGGTGACCCTGCACGCCCCACGCTGGACAGGCACTCCACGGGACCCCCACCCCAGGCATAACGCCGGGGTCCCCCGTTGCCGGTTGTGCACCGGCTGCACACGCCCACGTGGTCCCCAGTGAGACCTGTCGTGTACCGATCCCTCAGTCCTGGTTTAAAATATGCCATTGAAGACCTGTTTAGAAAACCTTTGAAAACCAAGGGTAAGTTTAAAAAATGGCAAGTTTAAAATCCACTTACACTTTTATTATAAACGAAACTTAAAAGGTTAACAAACTGGCTCAAAACTCGCCCGGGGTAGGGTCACCGGCGGTAAGAACAATGGCACCTCACCATCCACGCCCTCACCGGAGCCCTCTCTCCATCAGGGTCCCCGCGGGCCGACGCAACCCGAACCGACGTCGGGACTTCAAGACTCACCCCCCAAGGGGATGCTGCTGACTCGCCCCCACGCGACCAGGAGTGCGGCGAGAGGCCGGGCGTGTCTGGGAGAATGCGCTCTTTCGGCCGTTTCTGCTGCACGGAAAATGCCGGGGCAGGGAGCCCTGTGCGCTCCTCCGCGAGGGACCTTCCTGGAGCCGGAGGCGCTCGCCCCGGACGCGGACTCGCCAGAGTGCGCCCGGCCCGGCCCGGCCGCTGCGGGCGGGCGGAAGACTGCACAGGGCCGCGGCGCCTGCCGGGGGGCTGGGAGGTGACGGGCGCCCCGCCCAGGGGTCTCGGGCCCCGGAAGGCCACCGCGTGCTCTGGGCCGATGCTCAGACCCTGGACAGGCGGTGGGGGGCATCCCTGCACTCCAAGGCCACGTGGTGGCCTCTGGGGGAAAACAAAACCAAAACATAACCTTCTGTTAAACTCTGTATATTATTAATATTTTCTCTTACAATAGAAAGTTAAAAATCAAGACTTAGATTTACTATACATTTGTTTCCTCTCAGGTTACAAAGCTTACATTATATAGCTGGGGTTCCCTACGTCGGCTCCTCTGAGAGCAGCCCTACGGAGACCGGAAGAGTACAAAACAACTAGGCAGACCCACGGACACACGGGGCGCGCCGCCCCCGCGAGTCCCCGCACCCCCGCACACAGAGACGAGCGACGAGGAGGCCCCGACGCCGGCAGCGCGGACGGGACTGAGCACCGGCCGGGTCGGGTAGCACCTGGGGGGGGGGCCGGGGCGCTCCCGCCAACCGCAAGGAAGGCCTGCATCTCCGCCATCTGTAATGCATTTCTTTTGTTCTGTTTTTCCTTTTTCTTTTTTTTTTTTTAAAAACGACCAATGGTGTTAATAAATAAAGTGTTTCTATATACACGAACTTGGAAAATGGTTCCGGCGCGTGCGGCAGCGGCAGCGCGAACACAAGGTAGGGGCACACACACGGGGCTGGACTCGCGTAGAAAATTGCTGAACCTTACAAAAAAGTCTTTTTTTAAATCTTTTTAAATTGAGGTAAAAGTTTCAGTGTCTGGAAACCTGCCCGCTGCACACGCAGCCGCCGTGTCCCCCCCGCCCGGGGGGCCCCTGACCGCACAAAGGTCAGAAATGCTCCGCACGTCCCTTCCCCGCGGGCCCACCCCCGCCGGCCCCACCCCCGCAGCTCTGCCGGGAGCCTGCGCGGCGCCGCCCCGCCCGGCGGGCGCACTGTCCTGGGCCGCGGGCGGCGGCGGACAGCAGGGTCAGAGCTCGGGGCCCAAGCACAGGGGGCAACGCGCGTGTGCAAAGCCAACGGCCCCCAGGTGCGGAACCGGCCCGGGGAAGCTGCCTCTGAAAGCGTCCTTTCCGGACCGGGTCGGGCCTAAGAAAAGGGGCTTCGCAGGAACCTTCGGCTGGGCATCTTCCACGGTTTCTACGGTTACCACGTTAGCGTCTGGAGCTGCCGTCTCCGAGCGGCCGAACTCGGCGGCGAAGGAAAGACGTTTTGCAGTCTCGCACCTGCTCATAAAGTCTAGCGCACACGCGACAAAAGACCTTTGACCTATTAAAGCAAAAACGGGGAGATACCGTGACACTGGATTAAAAAGAAACCTGCACACCATGAACAAAAGTAGTAGTATATTATCCAGGAGGGGACACTGCGGAGGCCGACGGCGGGCGCGCGGCCGCTGGCTGGCTGGCGGGGCGGGGCGCCGGCGGAGCCCGACTTCACTCCGAGTCACTGCTGTCCGAGCTTGAGCCGCTGGAGGTGCTGCTCCCGGACTCGGACGAGCTGCTGCTGCTGAGCCGGGAAGGCCCTCCGGGGGGCGCCGCACCTGATTTCTCTGGGGGAGATGAGGGGGTGAGGGGCGGGCTCCCGCGTGCCCCACCCACCTCGCCCCTGGCCCCACCCACCTGTCCCGCCCACCTTGCCTGGCCCCACGTGTCCGCTCTGCCTTTCTCAAAGCAGACTTTCCAGAATATCCGCCCCTTCGCACCCCACTACACGCCACGACCCACCCACTCCTTGACTCGCCCACTTAATAAACGCGAACACACATCTATCTAAACGGACGGAGGCTGCGGTGTGGCATGACGTCGCGGTGCGGGAAGGCCTCTATTTGGGGTCTCTCGAGTCCCTGGCACGCAGCTCCCAAGACCCTTGGGATTCCCGCAGGGGTAAGAAGTGTCCATGTTTATAAGCAGCAACTTTGGGCCATGCCTGAGTTTATGCTAATGAGTGACCCCAGCCGGGGCCCCAGACAGGCATGGGATGGGATGAGGCTGGTCACCAGAAGACAGAGCCCATGCCCCATCTCCAGGGGGCCAAGGTGGGCATGCAGGGAGGAGCCGAGAGGGCGGGGCAGCTCCTGGTCCCTACAGCCGGCCCCGCCCACCTCTCACCCCTGGCTGCTGCGCCCAGTTACAGCCTTCCCGGTAAACCCTCACGGGAAGTCCCGCGCTCTCCTGCGCCGTTACGACCCGGCGGGAAGTGCAGTGGGAGGAACTGAGGTGGGAGCATGGGGACCCCGTGGTGCACAGGTAGGTCAAGGGTGCGAGAGGCCCAGGACTCGCACCTGGGCCCTGGGGTGG